CTGAGTTCTCCTATCTTCAAAACCCTTTTCCCATCCCTTACACTTCCTTTTACCTTTTGTATTCCCTACCCTATTCCCAGTAGTTAAAAAATAAAAATTATTTTTTAAAAAAGTCCCTTTCCTATTTTATTGTATTTTACTTTCATCCACAAGAGAAAGTATGGAGTAGGTATACAGTACGTTTTTTTGTTTCTACTGGCATTAGAAAAACATTGGATCAGGCATTTCGCTTACATTTTGTTAAAGTTCATATTTAGTGGGTAGGAGCTACCCCCAGGAGATCACTAAGGTGGAAATTTGCATCTGTCTGGTATTCTCACTCAAGAGAATGACTTTTTCATTTCATGCCTTCTGTCATTGTAGTGTGTGTTCTGCAAAGTATCAACTACTAACAAAATCATATTCCAATGACAGATAGAAAGTCTAGTGTTCATAAACTAAAATTAACTGTCTTTTCTGTTTAATTATGTGTTTAGATTGTTTGGCCTTAAATTTATCCATGGTTAACAAAGTGAAAGTAATGTAGAAGGACAATACAAGACTTAGAGGGGTCCCTTACAGTGCAGTCAAGGAGGGGTCAGTATCACATCTACCATTGGTTCTTATTTTCTTTTCTTTTTTCTGAATTGAGAGAATACAGATAGCAGTTTACATAATGAGAGTAATATGGACAATGAGAGTGTACATTAAATCTCTTAATTTTTTCTCCCTAGAATGCTTTCTGGTTTGGTCTGGGAGGCTGTTCAATATTTCTTATCCCTGCCATCATTTGTGCTGTAAAATTAGCCAAATTCTACCGTAGGATGGATACAGAAGATGTGTACGATGAGTAAGTAAACAGAAAATGCTAATGCTGAAGAATATGAAAATGCAGGATTTAGAAAGTGTAAACTTTGAACAGTATGCTGTAGAATGCCGTTGCGTTTTAAGGGAAATTGGATGTCTCCAGTAGACTTGACTGGAACATTTTGCATAGCATTCATTGTAGCTACTGTACCACTAGTATATATGAAGTTCTATACATTTTTAAGAGAAAAATATTTTTAAAAACTATATGAAGCGACAATGGGAACTGTGGGAAGGCAAGTTTTACAAACAGAGTAGGAAAGTTTGGTAAAGATATGGATGAAAATGCCTAAATCTGTCTAGAAAGGTGTCTGGAAGTTTTGTACATTTATGGCTTCCTTCTCCACACCCTTATATTGGGATGTATAGTTTGATGGAGATTGTGAGAAATCCAAATGTGAAGAGCTGTGGTGCTGTTCTTTAGAGGGATGTTCTTGCTTTTAAGGGACATAGAGCTTTAGCCACAAGTGAAGTAGGTAGCTGTTTTGCAATGTATATTGCCCAAAATCCAATTGTGGCTAACATAGGCAGGTACGTGCAGACGTCCAAACTACAGCTTCTTGTTTAAGACTGGCTATTAGTGATTGAGGTTCTGAGTAGTAAGAGTTCAGGAAATTATAGTCGTCTCCTTTATGAAGACAGTTGGAGGCAGAAACACCCAATGGATAGTACTGTAGAATTGAACTTTTGTAGAGTTCAATGCATAGAATCACCTTTGGGGCATCTAGGATCTTAACATAAGCTGTGCTTGCTTCCATATTTTGCTTGCCACAGTTCTTTGCTTTTGTCTTCTGTGGTGACTTCCTGCTCTCCCTAACCAGTCTTTCCTGTTTTTCCACTTGCAGTGCCTCTGTCTCAGGGACTTGGCATTTTACTTTATGATAGCTGTTTTTACTTATTTTTCACTTATCTTCACTTTTTATTTTATTTGCCATGTTTCTGTAAGTTTGTCGTTTGCCTTTTCTGATTTCCTATTTATTTTATGCAGACCACTCTTACATTGTATGTTTGCTAGAAAAGCAGTGAAAAACAGCTAGGAAACACTGCAAAGCCAAATATTTCTGTTGAAATACAAGATAACTCCTGCATTTTTATGGAGATTCCCCACCTCTGTTTATTAATATTAATTGTAATAGCTCACATTTTTCTACACTTGTGGCATATACCTATATGTGGTCCACATACATATCACAAATAGATGTAGAGCATGTTGAAATAGACTGTTTTTGTTGAATGAATACAGAATGTTCAATAGAATTAATTTAGTATGAACATGACAATGTACAGTGCTGATTATTCTTACAGGCCACATCAAGAGTGTGTTTAATTATATTGTTTTAACTATTGAAGTATTTTCACTGACTGTATATTCTTGTTTTAATTAGTTATTGATTGTTGTTTTATTTGTTGCTATGAGTTGCCTTAGGCAGAGATTTTTCAAAAGACAACTGATCACATTTTAAATAAACATCTTATTGATTTTTAAAATTACCATCTTGTAACCACGGTGTGTAACAAGCTACATCTTATCATTAACACAATCCTTTCTTGGTATATTTATTTTATTACAGTTTGGAAAATGGTAATAATGGTTATCATAAAGAACATTTGTATGGTATACACAATCCGATTATGGCAAGGTAAACCAAGTTCGAAACTCCCTTCCTTGCAAGAATTAAGCATTCTAAATGTATTGTGCGTTAGGCACTGAACTTATTTTCTCTCTTTCTTTATTTTTCTTTTGCACACTTTGAAGTTGATTTTTTTTTCTTTTTGCATGGCATCCCACTCTGGTTGGGATGCCATGCAAAAAGAAAAATACATGCCATATAAAGAATTAGACACTGTATGTCTAATGGTGGAATTACACAGGTTTCCATTTCTAAGCCTATCATTCTTCTACCCAAAACTTTTGTAGATAATTCATATATCTGGAAAACAGAGGTTCTCAGGGTATGTACTTGCTTTATAGCAACAACTTTCTAGAAATACATCCAGTCCTCCTTATGGAAACCTACTACTGGGCTGAACAAAAATTCTTTACAGTGAAATAAAGCTTCAATCACTGGAGGTTTTATTCACATTATTCCATGGATTGAGTTGATCCTGCTATGCCAAGGATAGATGACATAGGTGCTACAAAAGACAGTGGAAGATTTTTACTGAACATACACAGAAGGTATCAGTTTAACCTATGTGAACATGCCTTACACTGTGCCCATTCAGACCAGCACTGCTTCTCAGAAGATTTAGGATCTCAGACTGAGGTCTTTTTTGCCCTACACTCCCTGACTAAAACTGGGGACTTTGTAAATCCACCTTCAGACACTTAGCAATATTTGTGATGAGGGAAAGGTACCAGGCTTATTAGAAATGGGCATGAACTTGGAGCATCTTGGAACCACATTGCAGTGATGTAGAAGTTTCTGCGTTAGGGGGGATTCTCTAACAAACATTCCTATTTCAAAATTACATCAGCAACACAATTTTAGCAGATGTTGACAGAGAAATGGCAAATAATATTAGCTAATTGTGCACAGTAATCTATCACAAATCTCTTACTTCAAAAATATACATTAAAATATTTCTAATTGAAAAGCAGGACCCTTATCTTCCCCCTCTCTCCAAATGCAAAGATTTGGTACCTAAGACAGAGTCTGGAAAACTATCTGAATTGCTTTCTGTGTTCCTTATTATGGCAGCCTTGTAGTCTTCATCATCTTGCTCCTTTTTACCCTTGGTCCTCCTCCTCCTCTATTCACTGCTGCTTTTAGTTGATTAGTTGATTTACGGGATTGGCATTTTTGCTAACAGAGAGACGCATGGTCAAGATTTTTTAAATAGCTTTTCTAACTGCATATATATGTTATAGTTACGGGGAAATATAATTAGATGTTAATCATCAGTGCTTTCCATGCCTAATCTGGGAATCATAATAAAACTCCTTAAAACTGTCTTCAAGTATTTAAAAGCAAATAAATGCATTTTCACATAAATATTTGCTTTCACTTCAGTAGCTATTGTATACTGTTGCATTTTTGCTATCTCTAATATGCCTCCTGCCCCCACTTCCACAGCGTAATCTCTGTATGTTCTTTCATAGCTCTGTGGAACAGTGGTAGTGCATACTGGTAACATTAAGGTAAGTTGTGTGGTTGCTGTATCTGTTATGACAAATGTTGGGCTTTTGAAATGGTGGGCAACCTGCCTTACTGAATCTCTAAATATAGCCTCCCATGAAGGCACCAATTCTTGCAGTCTCCATTCTGCCTAATCACACTCCTGACTGCACCTTCTTTTCTGTGCTTTTAATGTATTTGGCATTGGGTGTGTGTGTGTTGTCATTGTCTGAACATTGTTTTACTGCACCTGTTTTGTAATACATGTTTAAGAATACACTTTGAATTTTGTCTTGTGACTTCATTTTCAGTTTTTGGAAATAATCTTCAGATTTTAACAAGGGAAAACACCATCACTGTTGAATTCTGAATCCTGAACCATCTAGTCTGGGACTTATACAGTAAATTATTTTGAAGTACCATCAATGCAACTGTTGGTTTCCAGTACCAGTTTTCCACTGGAACTTCCACATTACGTAGACAGGGTAGTTTGGATTTTGTGCTCATTTTTTTATTTGTTTCAGACTAGCCACCAGTTTGGAACTACTGAATTCCTCTTACAATGTCCAAGGATGTTAATAAATTATATATGTGTGTGTGATTGTGTTTACATGAAGATTGCATTATGTGTACAGACACTTTTGTATATGTATTTTTACAGCTGTCTTACAGCAGATTTTTAAAAAATACTGTTTGTTATACTTCACAAGCAACCAGTTCAGCATGATCAGTGTTTCTTTGGTGCTGACTGATAATTGCAAAATACTGTAAAAATCTAAAAATCTGCAGTCTTTTTTGTGTTCAGAAAAGTTACTGTAAATAGTCATGTTTTTTCCTTGTTCTGAATTATTGGATGAAATCCAGTAATAAGTTGCACTTGAGTCACTGAGGATTTAATTCAATGGACCTATTTTAGTTGTGACTTACTTCTGCATTTCAGCCATTTTTTAAATTACCATGTCACTGAAACCAAAAATATATTTTTCTTAAATCATTTAGCTGTAAAATTTTGAATAGTGGGAAGATAATATTAAATCCTTTTGTTAGTAACATGAATGAATATAGTAAAGCAAGAGATGTGAAAAGGAGTTATTCTGATCTTCAGCAAATTATGCACACTGCACATGTACAGCATGAAAGACAGCATGTTCATTAGCCTGCCTTGATGTGGCATTAAGTGTCAGAAACATCTGTTTGTCAACAAACATCCATTCCTAGATATGTATGCCTAATACATTTAAACTTTATTCACATATGCATTATGTGTATGTGTTTGAGAGAGAGTTCATTGGATATATGTACATAGGAATTCATACCTTTTTGCCTCATTTAAATCTTACCACATTTGGTGGAGATGGCACATATTCCTTTGCTCACTTTGCAGTTGGTTTATCTAGTTTGCCAAAGGTGTGACTAGACCCAAAATTAATATAACCACAGTCTCTTTAGGTGTACCTTGTAAAGTGTGGTTTGAGAAAAGAATTGCCTTTATTGCATGGGATATGAAATTGAGTCTGCAGGAAAATCTGCAAGCTGTTGCATTCCGCAGTCTTTGAATTTAGGAGTAGAAGTTGTGACCAAGGGAAATTTGCACACCTACTTTCCAAAGGGTTATCAGTGGTTAAATTATTAACACTTTGATTGGTAGGCATGTCTTTTGAGCCAATAATGTTGGGAGTGATTTTCTGTCTTTAAGGCAACAGTCAGAAGTGAGAGATTATGTGGTTCTTTAGTGAAAATTCTAGTAAGAGCTAAAGAGCTTTGCAAATCAATTACCCTGTTTACTCACATCTGAAAAATTAAGTCTTCTATGTTTCATTCAGTGTAAGTGCTTTCCCCCCCTGGTGTTGGAAAATGCCACATGTGAAACAGCTATTGTTTATTTCTACTATCCAATGTCTATTCATTCTGTCATATTTATTTATTTATTTATTTATTTATTTATTTATTTATTTATTTTCAAAGTATTTATACATCAATATACAGGTTATTCAAGATGAAAAGACGAGAAAAAAAGAAGAAAAAGAAAAGGAAATCAGGTATTAACTGGAGGGAAGCCCTTCATAAACATCCAAGTTTTCAATTTATTTTTAAAAATGCCCAGCGAAGGGGCCACACGAATCTCTGGAGGAAGATTATTCCAGATGCGAGGAGCTACTGCCGAGAAGGACCGGTTTCTTGTTTTTTCCTTCCGGGCCTCCCTCGGCATCCCTGGGGGTCCTCACCCTCACCTCCTGACCCGATCGGGTGATATGGGTAGATTTTGGTGGGAGTAGGCGTTCCACCAGGTATCGAGGCCCTAAACCACTTAGGGCTTTATATGTGAGCATTAAAACTTTGAAGTCAATGTGGAACCAAATGGGCAGCCAATGCAAAGCGACCAGAGTAGGAGAGATATGATGATATTTTCTCACTCCACTAAGGAGTCTGGCCACCACATTCTGCACGGAGTTTCTGCATCAACCTCAAAGGTAACCCCATGTAGAGTGCATTACAGTGATTTACTTTATTATCACTGTAATGATAATACAGTGGATTTATCTGCTGCTTCTTTTTTCTTTTTCTTTCTTTTTTCTTTGTTTGGGTATGGAATGGAGGGCCTGCCTTTCAAGTGAGGGGCCTTTGAACATCTCTGTGATTACGGGTAGAGGGAGATATGGCATTGGCACAGCCGCTACTCGTGTTAGAACGATGAACAAATGTTTGAAGGCTGTTCACCATTCTGGGACTGTGATCAACCATCAGTATCGAGGTAGTCAGGCCAGCCAACCCTCCACTCTAAAACTGGTGCTGTTGAATGCCAGGTCTGCATCCAATAAATTCCAGGTTATTTACGATCTTATTCTGGAGGAGGATGCAGACCTGGCATGCATAACCAAAACGTGGATAGGTGGACAGGCGCTCCTCCCTTAATACTCGCCTGTCCACCCAGCTATGCTGTCCAGCACCAGGGTACACTGGAGGAGCAGGGGGGAGTAGCCATTGTATATAAAAACATCTTGGAGGTTACTAGGCACTCCTTGGTGGTAAAGCTGGGTTTAGAGGCCCTCCACATGTCAATAGGGGCCAGGGATGGTATTGGGATCTTGCTGGGTTACCGCGCTTCCCGCAACCCAGCCATTTACCTACTGGAGCTGACGGACTTTGTCTCCACAGCACTGTTGAGGTCCCCAAAGCTATTGGTTTTGGGTGACTTCAACATTCACATGGAGGCAGAGACCTCTGGGCCAGCTCTTGAATTCTTGGAAACCATGGCTTCCTTGAACATGTCTCAACATGTCAATGGCGCCACCCACGTGGGTGGTCATATGTTAGACCTGTTTTTTTCCACCAATTGGATTGATTGACCTTGTGTCAGTCACCTTGTCATGGTCAGATCACCACCTAATAAAATGTAACCTCTTCCCCCTCACAGGAATCAGGGACCTACTTCTGTGGTTCGCCGTCGAAGGCTACTGGATCCTGTAGGATTCCAGGATGCCATGAGAGGTGTTTCGGTTGACCTGGCCAGTGCTCCTGTCGAGGCTCTGGTTGACGGCTGGTTTACCAACGCCACCAGGGCTGTAGACATGATTGCTCCTAAACGCCCTCTCCAATACAGAGCTCATCCTGTGCCCTGGTTTAACCAGGACCTACAAGCAATGAAGCAATTTAGGAGAAGGATAGAGTGCAAGTGGAGAAAGAACCCGATGGATTATAATTGGATACCTGTCAGGGTTGCAACTAACCTTTACCTGGCCAAGGTAAAGGCTGCTAGTCAAGCATATTTCACTAACCGGATAAGTGAAGCTTCAAATCAGCAGGTGGAGTTATTCCATATAGTGTGCGACCTATCCGGAATTGGTCTGAGTGATGGGCCTCCCCCTAGTATTTCGCCAGACGAATTTGCAGCATTTTAAAAATCTAAAGTGGAGGCCATCTGCCGGGCGCTCTCTCCTTTTTTGAATACAGTGAGTCAAGCAGAGATGTCCAGCACTCTGCCTTGTCCGGTGACTCATGAACTCTTTAAGTCTGTGATGCCAGATACTGTGGACAAAGTGCTTGATTGCTGTCGTGCCACCAACTCATCCCTTGACCCTTGCCCAGCCTGGCTAATCAAAACAGCCAGGCCTATAACAACAGAATGGGCCACAGCAAAAATTAATGAGTCTTTCCTTAAGAGCAGGGTTCCTCCTGCCCTCAAGGAGACACTCATTAGGCCCATAAAGAAGAACCCTAGTTTGGCGGTGGATGAAACTGGCAATTATAGGCCCGTCGCCAATGTTTCCTTCATCAGCAAAGTGGTGGAGAGGGTGGTGGCTGATCAGTTTCAGGCTCATTTGGATGAAACAGATGCCCTGGATCTGTTCCAGTCGGGTTTCAGGCTGCGCCATGGTACAGAAATGGCATTGGTCGCCCTGTATGATGACCTGCTGAGGGAGGCTGACAGGGGTAAAATATCTCTGTTGGTCCTCCTTGACATCTCAGCAGCCTTCGATACCATCGACCACAGTATCCTCCTCAGGAGGCTCTCCAAGTTGGGAATTGGTGGCTGTAACATTCAGCCCTGCTTTCACCTGTCCATCACAGCTGGGCATTGGAACATCAGCCAATGAGGGGACGGAGGGTGGTGCAGAAGGGGGAGGAGCTGAAATATAAAAGGGGTGTGTGAGATGAAGAGAGGGGGAGAGAGAGAGATTGATAGATTGAGAGATTGAGAGTTAGTGATTAACATGTTAATAGGCCTATGAGCCAAATAGTCAGTGAGGGAAAAGTCTGTGTGTGCTATAGTGAATGAGAAACCGTGATTTACAACTTGATTAACTACCTGTGATTTACCCATTTTCTTTTGTTAAATCAATAACCAAGTTTTGTTTTGGAAGAAACACTTGTCCTTTTTGAATATTAAATATAAGTGGTGGCAGCAGTTGAAGAATAGTAGTGAGCACTCCTGGAGGCCTGAGTTGGCAGAGGCTTCAGAGAGGCCCGCTACAGTGGCCATGTGGTTGCATGGTTCTGATCCTTCCTCGGGGACCATCCTCAGAGAGTACAGCTTGGGGAGAGGTTATCACCCCCATGGACCCTCAACTGTGGGGTTCTGCAGGGTTCGATCATCTCCCCAATGCTGTTTAACATCTATATGAGGCCGCTGGGTGGGTTCATCAGGAAGTGTGGGGTGCATTGTCATCAGTACACTGAAGACACTCAGCTCTACATCTCCTTTTCTCCAACTGCAGTGGATCCCATTCTGTCCCTTCAGCGCTGCTTGGAGTCTGTGCTGCAATGGATGCAGGAAAATGGGCTGAGGCTGAACCCAGAGAAGATGGAGGTCCTGATGGTGGGTGGCCCCATCGTCAATCATCTGGGAAGCTCTCTCTCATTTGGTGGGTGAACTTTACTGCAAAGAGTGAGGTTCACAGCTTGGGGATCCATCTGGACCCAGCACTCACCATGGAAACTCAGGTGGGGTCGGTGGGCTATACCACCTTTTTTTCATCTTCGGCAGATAGCTCAGCTGTGTCCGTATCTTGATGTTGGGGTGCTCACTACCTTGGTACATGCGCTTGTAATCTCGAGATTACAAGCCCCTTGCTGGGAAGGCAGGCCCTCCATTCCATACCCAAATAAAGAAAAAAGAAAGAAAAAGAAAAAAGAAGCAGAAAACCTAAATTACTTTAAATAATAAAGTAAATACATAAATACATGAATGCATAAATCAAATACTGTGTAATAAGCTAATGATCCCACACTATAAAATAAAAAGGAAACTTTAAAGAACAATTAAAGTCCTGATCTGCCTTACCCTGCCTCGTAATTTTGTCCTTCTAGATGTTATTGGACTTGATGTTATTAAGAGTGCTGGAGTGTAGATCTTACAAACGAGGCAGGTTTCACCAAAGGTCTCAACAATAAACAGAGGAAGCAACAGTAACATCAAAATCC